AAATTCTGAACCGGTTTTAATCCGATACGATAAAAACCGGTTATAAATCCGATATCGATAACCGGTTCCGACCTCTATCCGAAACTATCGAAATCCTAAATTTGGAAAGATTTTTGCAGATCAATTTGGCGAAACTATTTTCGCCCGAAACACTAATGTTATTAGATTAAAATGTAATAAGGTCATAATTTTAGTCAAAAAATTCCCAGAACCTGATTTTCCTAGCAAACTTCCCATGTTGTGAATATCATACCACAAAACTGTTGTATGTAAGAGATTCCAATGATTTAGGATTACATCAAGTGTTTCGCCGCCAATTTTTTTATTTTATTTTATTTTATTTAAAAACAGAAATTTATGAGGATTCACACGCGGTAATGCACAAAAAAAATATAAATTATACATATACCCGACGTCTATAAGTAATATTTCAATACCGTTTGGGCAAGTCTACAAAGATATGAATATCTAAAAATCTTTATCATATCCTTATCTTGGTCAATTGTTTTTTTATAGCATTAAATTTTAATTCATTAAAAAGGATCATTACCAATAACGCTTCGGACGCTTTAACAACGCCAGTTTCCTAACCAAGATCAATACGTATTTGTCCAGGACTAAAATGTTTTCATCACTAAAACTACACAGATCATGGAGTTTTTAAATTTTATTACCTACCATTGGTAAACCGCTGTTCAATAAATCGAATTTGTATTCACGTCAAATTATAAACCATGCAAAGAAAAACTGGAAAATTTATAAATTCGTGATTGCAGAATTGTATCAACCGACTCCTGCAAAATATCAACCTTTCACCATGTGAAAAATTATTAACAGATAGAATTACGTTCCTATAATTAATTGAAATATTTTTTACTCTTTTTACAAAAATTATTTTATAAATAATGGTACAAGTAACTGAAGAAATATATTCTTTTGGTAGGTTCTTAGGTTCTATAATAAATATTTTTTTTTATAAAAAAAAATAAAAATAAAATTCGTCTCTTTTACATTGATTATATAATTTATAGATTTTCTTACGAGTTTCCGTTATATAATGAATATACTTTTCGTCATATCCTTAGTAAGTTCCTTTTAAAACTTATATTATTTTATTGCTATATTTTTTTATACTTATTCTAACAAGAATTATTGTTATAAATCGTGATGAATGCAAAATTTTATCAGTATTAGTGTTAGTAATTTAAAATAGTTAATTATAAGAGTGAATAAAAGGTAATTTTATTTTAGAAAACTCTTTTTCATGTGAAACTTTCAAGAAAAGCCATTGTCGACATTCATTAATTTACGTGGCTTAGAAATTTGATTAACGTTATATGATTTCCACGTGCATTATTTTTTTGCTTTTCATCCAAGAATTTTACTTCATTTGGTTATATACAATATTTATTAAATCAGCATGAAAGCTTCCAACAATTCTAATAAGTGGATTAATTGGATTGAAGAATCTATCTCAAGAAAAAGTATCAAATACAACGAATATAAGCAATTTAGTAATTTTCAAGAAATTGGTAAAGGCAGCTTTGGAATAGTCTATCGTACAAATGATTACACTGTTGAAGAACTTGTTGTGAGGCAAATTAATAAACAATATGTACTTAATTAAAATTGGTTCATTAAGTATAGCTAAATTTATTTTATAATAATCTAGCTTGAACTTCTACGGGAAGTTAGTTTTCATATCAATAGCATTCGTCATTTGGGAATTACATCATCAAACCAAGGTATAAAATCTTAAATAATGAGGTTAATTATAGTTTAATATTGACTTTTAAATTTTGATTTTTAACTTATTTATATAAAAAAATATTGAAAAAATATTGTTTAGTAATGGAATATGCTGATTATGGGGCGCTTAAAAACTATTTGAAGGAGCTTGATTTGGGAAAAATATAACTTGGCATTTCCAGTTGGCTTATGCTATATCGTGTTTACATGACGAAGTAAATGTAAATCGTGATTTGGTAACCTTTGTTTAATTTTATTTTATTATGAACAATTCTTTTTAAATGATCAATAATATATTTTTTTTTCTTTATATGAATAGCATTCAGGGCAATATATTAATCCATCAAACTAGCAGATCTTGGTTTATCAAAAAGAATTGAAGCGACAACTAATACGTCAAAATTATACGTGAATACATGATACCTGATAAATGTAGCGTTCACAACCAGGACGTGTTGTTTCAATAAATTAAAGTTCGGATTGCATGTTTGACAATAACTCTCATATAGGACGCGATTTATTTTACATTGCATTTTACCCAAGTATGACTTTACTTTTTTTAATTAACCATACATCTCCACATTTCACGAAATATATTCAACAATAGAAGTAAAATTTATTTACTGTGCTCATTTATTTTTTCAGCAGATGAAGGAAAGAAAGTTTATTTTTTTTTTCCTCTTTCTAATTTGACAAATGATAAACAAGAGAAAAAAAAGTATAAGAGAAATTAAAAAGAAAACGTCTTAAGTTAATTAATTCCTAAAACTTCCCAAATGAAGTTTTTACTAATCAACTATCAATAAAAAGCGAAAAATAAAAAAAAAATAATGTATTAATAATTAAAGCCGGATCAAATCATATCGATTTTCTTGTTCGTGGGAAAGAACTTCAAAATGTTCAATTGGAGAAGCCCATTTTCAAACTTAGCGGTAACTTTATTGTCGCTTATACTTGAAGTTAAAGTAATTTTACGAGTAAAGGGTCCATCATATCTAGAGATTGACCGGTTAATATGTTAACCGGTAAAATAGATGAGTTTAACTCCGGCCGAAATTCAATTTCTGGCCAGAATTAAGATTTTTAAGTTTGCAAAATTATTGTCCAACTCCAGTCAAATTTATATTATTGACCTAAGTTAATTTAATCGGTTAATTAACAGGTTAAAGAATTTTTGGCCGGATCCAACCTCTCTAATCATGACCTCTTTAATTTTGTATTGAACCGCCTGAAAATTGAGCCCTCTACAAGCCACCAGAAATGACGAGTTGATTATTAAATATATTAATTTCTTTTTTTTTAAACATTTGTTATAAATATGAAAAAAAAATTTATTTTTACAAATATACATACCGGTAACTCCATATTTATGATAAAACTATTCTTTGTCACGTAAAAGTCTGTTGTGGGCGTCCAATTCGATTTCATAATTAAGTTATTTTCGTTGTCATCTGTGACAGCTGCCAGCTTTTTAATAAAATAATGTTGATTTTATTGCATAAACAAAACTAAAAATTTTTAAGTATTTACTTGAACTCCGGACGTAACTACATCTTCTATATCCTGAGATGCATATTAACCTGAGAAGTATCAACCCGAGTAATAGTAAATACCTGATTAACCTGAGTAGTATTATAAATTAGTTAATAATAAGTTTACAACAATAATTAATTAAAAATCAAAAGATTAAAAGTACTCTTACGTCTCTTTCTTGACCTTCAGTGCTATACTGGACAAACTCGTTACTTCTGAATTTTTTTGCGTCACTAAACTTAAATATATTAATTAATAGCCCAGTAAATATTTTATCATGCATTGCATGAAAGAATAAACCCGCTTTTGAATGCGATTTGAAGTGAACTAATCCATAACTGAAAAATAAATCAACCTCATTAGCTTTATAAGTTAATTACAAAAGACAAACAAACAATTATTATTTACCACAATAAAAAGCGAAGACTCATCACTCCATATATATACAGTATCTCGCTAAACGTGACCACCTTTCCAAAGGCCAATTATTTCACCTCGCTCAAATTCAGTAAGTTCTCGGGTTTTGGGCGTTTTAAAAAAATATATTCGAATACTAGAAGTTTCGTGGCTGTGCAGGAGAGATTCTCATTTTTATTGCATTGGTAAAATTACGCCAATTGGTGTAACAAAATCACGTGGTCCAATTCTTTGATCGGGGAGTGAACGTACATAACCAATCCCTTTCAAAGAAATTGATTTTACGCTTTTTATTAGCAAAGAAAACGAAAAAGGTCGCGAAAAAGAGAAACAAAATTTTTCTGTATATATATTGAAGCTGTTAAATTGCATCATAAATAATAAAAATTTTCATGTGAAAGATTCTGCTCGACAATGACCTAATAAATATGACATTATACTGTAGCAAATCACGGCAAATCATTGTATTACGACATTCTTCCTCTTTATTAGATGATCTAAGCAAACTTTCCAATAGACAATAAATATCGAACTGGTTAAGTCGCCTCAAAATTTTAGAACCGAAGAAGGAACCGAAATGAAACACGCTCAAAACGTACTTAAAATAATACTATTTTTTTTTGTAATAAATTATAATAGTTGTTTTGGATTTTAAAAATTATCTTAGTTTAAATTTGTTGAAGTATAAATTGAGAAGTATTTTTAAGTTTACTCAGCAATCTTCAAGTGTGAAGGTAAAAAATTAAATAAATAAATAAATAAATAAAAAAGTGGGATGGATGATTCACGATATATTGATCCATTAAATAGATAAACAATAGGAGTAAGTAGGTCATACTGCAATTATATTAATAAATATCTATAATTAATTATAAACTTGTTGCTTTAATTTAAACTTTACTAAATTTATTATTTTATTTATATTTAGCAATCATGGTAAATTATATTATTATATTATGAAATCTATTTCTGGTAATTATTTTATTAACTTCCGATATATAGAAATGTTACTATTAATTATTGTAAATTCAGTTAGTACGCTAACTTTTTTCTTTAAAATTATTCTTGTTCTAAAAATATAAGAAGGGATTACTTCAACTTTGAAAGTTTATAAAATGCAATAAAAGTTTTCGAAGTTTTTTATCCAACATTAGAGATTCGAACTTATTTATAATTTTTCTATTCTTTTTATTCATGGTTTTAAATCTATGGTTGTATTGAAATCATTGATCTTTTCAAGTAATTAGTTTTTTTTTAGCTTATTATGTAAGATAAAAATTTGTTATTTTTCAATTTGTCTTATTTAAATAAATCCGTTTCTCGAAATCGACGGCTTTGTAAAAAAAAAAAAAAAAAAAAGCAGACACAACGTCTCTATTTTCAAATGACTGAGATGCTGTGAAAGATCCTAATTTTGATGCAATATCCGTTGCCTTTTTTTATAAAAAAGGCTGAATAAACCTTACAGTCATTATTACTGTGAACATACCATTTGTCAACTTTTGACGATCGAAATAGCATTACTGTCATGTGCATAAATAAATTTGCTTGAAAAGACAAATTTTTATGTATAAATAATAAAAATTTATTTTTTTATAAATAAAATTCGAAACTCTGGCAAATAAAAAAACAAAATTTCAACTATCGCAAATTTAAATTTTAGTTGAAAATTTACACGGTAAAACCGTTTCGATATATTTTTCATATTGGCGTAAAGGATACAATGTTGATGAAATTCCTTCGATCTTTTCATCTTAAGGAAACGATGGTTAATAACTTTCAACAAATTAAATCGTTGAACTATTTAAAATCAAAAAGTACCGACGATTCACAGAGATTCAACATGCAAGGATTCCGTCTTTGAAATTGCGCTCATGATCTATTTTTTGAGACATGTTTTGTTGTATAAAAAATTAATGGAGTACCGTCGTTGAAAAGTGCTGATAATGGTTGTGGAGATAAAATTAAAAGCGGGAATGTATCTGCATGTGAACATTACTTGGTACTCACACATTACAGTAAAGCTAATTTACACATTTCCCATCTTCCGAAATTTATTTCATAAATTAATATGGCGGTGCAGATACACGACTCTCATGTACGCACGGATAATTCGACATAATTACGATATATCTTTAACCGGCTCAGTAAAAATTCCGAAATTGGTAAATTTAGAAGCAACGATCTTATATATTATAAAATATTTCATAAATAATATATTTTTATTTGAAAACAACATAAGTGGTGGCGGTATTAAAAAATACGTAAAATTATCTTTTATTAACTTGAAATACCTCATAATCATCTGCTTGAAACGAACCATTTGGAATATCAATTTGAGAATAAAAATAGGTATTACTATGCCAAGTATTGCTATCATCGAGATACAAGTCATTACAACCACCAAATGATGGACCAAAATTTGGATAAAAAAATATAGCATCTTGAGCTTTACCATCCTTAATATAACCTACTTTTGCAGTTTGAAGGTTAGTTCTATTTACGAATGAAAATATAAAACTGTCTTCGGTAGTTTTCCAATGATTATTTCCTTCCCACCCAAATGGATTATATCCTCCCACTATTTGTTCCGTTCCGTTAATTTTAACTACAACAATATTGGCACCTTGGTTATCACATTTTTGATGAAATGCTGCAATTGTATTACCATCCCTACTGGCACGATAAAGCAATTTAAAATCATAAAGCGTCTTTTTGTCATTTTTTTTTCCATAAATTAAACCATAAAAAAATCTATATGACTTCTTAATCTCGTCAATCCAACTGGAAAATATAGCAAAATGCCGAGAGTTAACTAGAATTGATTTACATTTTGACTGTCTAGGTGGTTTTATATTAATATTAAATTTCATATCTGGTACCGAAGTATATGCTAAGATGTCAATAATCAAATCCTTCGGTAATAATTCCCTGTAAGGAAGCACTTTTTCAAGAAAATCTTCTGAAGACATATGATGAAATCTAATTAAAGGGATAAATCTATGAAGAGTTCTTTCCAAAACTGTAGTTTCTTCATTGCTCCATTCTTTGACATTTTTAGAAATAGACGGGTTCTGAGAAAAACCCCATTTAATTAAACTATCCCAAATATCAATTTCTTCCAGACTTAAATCATCCCGTTTTAAAAGGAATTCTAATAAAGGTGCTTTTATATTGATAAATTTATCAGAATTAAAAAGCTCCTTGGGGTCTTCACAAATTTTTTCAAAATAAAAATTACGCAATTTCGTGAAGGATTCTTGTTGATAAATCGTTTCAATAATTTCCATAGACTGATTTTGTAAAAACTCACGATGGTCTTTAATTAAATATTCTTCAATTTCGAGAAATAGGGATTGGAGATTAAGAACACTTGCCGAGTTTAAGAGTTTTAATGCTTCAGTTCCTTCTAATTTCGTCATGTCAATCCTTCCGCAATACATAAATCTGAAATTCAAAGGAATAAAATGTTTATTATTGTCAAAATTGTCGTACAAACTATTCACTATATTTACCTTAAGATAATTTTAAAAAGATGTGGAGGAATGTTGGTCATTTTTAAAATAAATTTCCCTTCCCTCTTCTCAACATTTTCTTTAGTTAATTTTTCATAAAAATATTGCGACCTGGTACGTAAAATATTTGAATGTGCATGTAGCTCCTTAACGTTTTCATTTTCACCGGCAGAAATAATGACATCATAGCTTTTATCATTTTCAAGCAACCTCTCAAAATCATCCTGCAAACATTCTAAGGTCATTTTTATAGAATTTCAAATTTGAAAAAAAGAAACAATAAAAAAAAAAACGTTGAGAAAATTATAAATTAATTTGGAGAATGATAATGTTCCACCACATTTTTGTGATTAAGCATGAATGCATGCAGTTATGAAAATTCCAATTTCGTCCATTTCCTGCGCCACTTTATAACTATTTTAAGTATTTTGTACACTATGAATCTAATTTCCTAAAAGTACTGTAATTTAATGAATAATTATGTGTGTGTTTACTACATTTTTATAAAAATTTTAAACTTTGAAGAGATTTTTTTTTTTTTGACGTTATAAATTTTTATTATAAACGTCAAATTATAGTGACCGACCAACATGTCAATTAAAACCTTTTGCAGCGCAGCATTCGATTTCCATGGTAATATTTTTTTACAAACGAATCCCCTATCAAAATCTTATTCAACTTGATATCCATAAAGATCCGATACAAATTAAATCCGTGAATTCAAATCTTTTTATAAAAGATTAATTCAAAAAATTTTTTTTGGATTTGTAATATTATATTGTGAATACCCATACAATAAAACTAGTGTATGAAAGCTATTGCAATGATTTAGGACTATTTCAAGTATTTCTCCACTAAATTCTATTTATTTATATGAGAACAGAGAAATATATAAGAATTCACACGCGGAAATGCACTATAAAAACAAATAATACTTATTTAAAAATATTTATCATCCTTACAGCAAGCATTTAAATTTTAATTCATTAATCTCCAGTAGATCCCATCATTAATTTACTTAAAAATTATCAGTCTTTATTAAAAAATAAAATGAAACAATAAGAAATAAAGAAAAGTAAAGTACAAGTTTATATTTTTATCCTTATATATAAATTGTTCTCTGTTTTTGATTCTTAATATAAAAAAAGACAATAGATATTGCCAAATATTTGTTACCCAATAATATTGTAAAAATTTATATTAATGACTTTGTAAAGTTGAATACAATTTGAGTTGAGAGATCAAATAACAATATTTAATAAATTGTCTTAGCACTTTCGTCCGCAAACATTTATCTATTTATTATAATAAGCGGTTACAATATAATTTAACATTAATTGACTGAGAAAATTTTTAGTGTAAATTCTGACCCTAACACAATATACATATAAAAAGTGGAATAAAATTTATTGTTAACCCAAAATTATAATCAAAACTCAATGTTAAATTTATTTATAATATTTAATTGTATCTCATCCATGGTATAATAAAAATAAAAAGAAGAAAAATGGAGAAAATGTGAAATAATTGATTAACAGATTTGTATTGCGGGAGTCATGAAGTAATTGTTTATACTACAGACCGCGATATAGATAATTTGGAAGTTGTGTTAGCTGAATCAATCCAAGGTAAAATTCCACTTCCATTTAGTCTTACCCCGTGATGATCGAAATGAATCCTCAGATAAAATCTTATGTATGAAATTAAAACGTCAACGAATAATAACTAACTTAACTAACTTCATAACTATACTCACGATCAAATTCTACAGCCGATCATAACGCTCCTGATGCTTTAACGGTGCCAGTTTCCTAGCCACATATTTGTCGTGGATTAGAAAATTCCATCACTACGACTAGGATGATGGAGTTCTAAATTTTATTATCAACAAACATTGGAAAGTTGTAAGTGTGAACTTCAATATCATTGTTGCATTAAAGCAAATTTGTAGGACATTGGATTGTTTACATTAGTGTAAATTACAGTCACCTTTTAAATCTTATTTTCAAATAGCCATCAACAAAATTAGCTTTGTTACTTGATCGCATGCTATGTCCATCGAAGAATAAACCATGATTCAATTTGAGTTGAACTATTTGTTGCCGCAGTAGATGTGGACAATTTTTTTTTTTAAAAAAAAAAAATATTGAAAAAATTTAAATTGTTAATACGTTATTTTCAAGCAGGACATTCTTATATGGGAGTGTTTCTAGGAAAATCAGGTTCCGAGAAATTTTTGACTAAAATAAAGAGCTTAATACGTTTTAATCTAATAACATCAAAAACTAAAATGCAATAAAAATCTCAATTTTGCTAAAAAATTCCCGGAACCTGATTTTCCTAGCAATCAACCCATATTTGACTTGTACTGATCATGTAATACTATAATAATTTTACTATAAATATTTTATTTTTTATTTTTTTTTTTTTTTTACAATCTCTAAAAATCTGAAAAATCTATTAGTTGGATATTTTTTTTTGGTTATTTGTATTTTTTAACTTTCGTTTACTTTGGTTTCCTCGCTTTGGGACACTGAGATAGAACGAAATTTTCTTTAAAATTATTTATTATTAATATTTAAGATCCTATCGGCGCGGATGTGTTTTATTTTTTTTAGTTTAGTTTTTTAGTTTCTTTTTTTTTACTTATCTAAATTTCATTTTTAATATCGCTCGCGCTTTTTATATGACCATTTTTATTTTTATTAATGATTTTTTTTTCATAGAAATTATGATAAAGCTTTGTTTGAATTACGCCTCATTTTTATTATAGCCACACGACCGCGCCAATAAAAAATAGATCTCTCTGAGAAAAAATAAAAAGGAATCATCATCATGAATAGAATGAGACATGTTGGTTTTAATATTCCTATCAAAATAGAAATAAAGATAAAAAAAGATAAAAAATTTGGACATGAAGAATTTGATAACCAATTCAGAAAAGGACTTAAAAAATTAAGCGTAATAATTAATTTTC